GCAAATGTAAATGTGTTCAGTCAAGCTTCCCTGGTTCCACTGTCATTTGTGTTTTTGCCTTATCTCATGTCTTATGTCATGGTTTCTAGAACATCTTTCTTTTGCCTGAATGTGCCTTGAAGCAATTTAAAATATTTTTGGTTACAATCTACTTTCTTCCAAACTTTGCAGGTGTTATTTCATTCCAAAGAGTGCTGCACTGCTAACCCAAACGCCACACCTCCCTTGTGATTTGAATCCATCAATGGCTGCATGGGATAAAGAGGGGTACCATACCACCTTCCCTCTGTAACTTGATTTGTGCCACTACTAGAACCTCTACTCGGAATATTATTGCTTATTAATTTTTGACTCGTGTACTTTTAACTTGTTAGTTAAATTTGTGTCTTCTAGGTTGCAACACCTCCATGATACATCTTCAAGCGTATGAACATGTATGGCTAAGCACAATTGATAACAGTGCATCTAAATTCCAAAATCAGTCTCCATAATAGTCTATGTGTTTCCTACTGCCAAAGGGGCCCTTTAGAGTAGTGAGAGAAGACCTTCACCCTGGAACCCACAGCGTCCCTTTTCAGCAGGAAGTAGCTAAGAGAATACGCCATCCCCTTTCCCTTATGAATCAGGGTGAAGTCTCTCTCAGGGAGGAGTGATAGGGAATGGCAAAGGACACACTGACAAAGGAGATTAATCAGAACTGGCTTTGACAAGTACTGTGGCAATTGAACAATTAAAGCAGACATTTGGGGGGGGAAGAAGAACGAACTGGGGAGGAGGGTAGAGAAAACAGTGCAACAATGAATGAATGAGAACCCAAAATCTCCGTAAATGTTCATTAAAGCTAATAAAATATAATAATAATTTAAAAAAAGAGGGGTAATCACCTCCTCCCTTGAAATTAACAGTCTTTCAAACATTATAGAGGGTCAGCTGTGAGTCAATTCCAACTTGACAAAATGAGTTGAATAACGTTTTGGAGCCACTCAGCAGTATTTGTTGTCAAGTTACTCTCAGGTGGCCCCATGAGATTCAGAATGGATGTGTGCTTCATAGAGTTTTCCGTAGTTGATGTTTTGAAGTAGACCACCATGCTCTCCTAAAGTGTTTCTGTGTGGACTTGAACTGCCAACCTTTCAATTAGCAGTCGAGCACAAGAAATATAAAGTTATATGTTGTTCTGTTGTTAGGTGCAGTCAAGTATGACACATAGCAACCCTATGAACAATAGATCTGAACCCTGTCCTATCCTGCGCCATCCTCAATCTCTGACACACTCGAGTCTGTTGCTGCATTCTGTGTCAATCCACCTGGTTGAGGGTCTTCCTGTTCTTCACTGTTCCTCCACATTTCCAAGCATGCTGTCCCTCTCTAAGGAATAACCTCTCCTAGCAACATGCTCAAAATACGGGAGATGAAGCTTTTCATCCTTGCCTTCAAGGAGCACTGTGGCTGCACCTTCTCCAGAACACACTTCTATGTGCTTTTGGCAGATTTTGAAATTGGAGAAGAGAACTGAATACCCTATGAACTCAAAAGGAACCTAATGGTGTGTCTTGGAGAAAGTGTAACCAGAGAGTTCCTTGGAGGCAAGGATGGCAAAGCTTTTTATTTTGTTGTATACCATTGAAGCTGTATTATTCTCCAAAATACTTACAGAACTTCTTTCCTAGTGGAATTTAGAGACTATTGGAAAAGGAAGCTCATGTGGCCTTGTGGCAAGAAGCTCCACTGCTATCCTTGAGATATGCAGTTCAAATCCAACAGCTACCCTGTGGGAGAAAGATGGACAATCTCCTCCCAAGTGATTAACTGCCTCTGAAAAGCCAAGGGAGGGTCAGCTTTGAGTCAGTTCTGATTTAAAATCTGTTGTTCTTATTGTTGTTGTTGTTAAATGCCATTGAGTCATAGGCAACTCACAGCGACCCTATGAACGAAAGACCTGAACACTCATATAACTTTTTTCGTTTCTCCAAATTCATAGAGTTTCCAGAGGCAAGTTATTTTGGAAGTGGATGACACTCCTGCTTCCAAGCTTGTTTTAATTGAGGAGCTCCACCAAACACTGTCCACCATGGGTAATCATTATTGCATTTGAGACATCAGTGTTCCAGTATTCAGCATCACAACAACCATGAGCTACCTCTGTACAGCAAATGGACAGACCAGTGCTATAGTACCCAGAAGAATGCTTGACCAAAAACAATTAAAAGCAGGCCTGAGGGATGCATATTAGAATCACCTACCTTTGACTTCGGGCATGTGTTTGTTATGTGCAGGTTTGCTTTGTCCCTGAGAGTGAGGCTAGCCAGCCTGGGTCGAGGCTTTGAGCCAGGAGGCGGCCTTAAGCCCAAAGGCAGCTGGGAGAGGAAGCAGCCATGTTGTTCTGGTTGACTCCTCCCAGGGTTTTGGGAAGTTCTTGCCAGAAGGAGCATGGTGGTGTGAGCGCAGGAATCGTGGCAAGCTTTTGGAGTCGACTGCTTTTTGGGGCATGTGTTTGTTATGTGCAGATTTGCTGTTATGTGCAGATTTGCTCTGTCCCCGGGAGTGAGGCTAGCCAGCCTGAGTCTAGGATTTGAACCAGGAGGGGGCCTTAAGCCCAAAGGGCCCTCGGGCCTGTGGCCCTCGGCCAGGTTCAAATTGTTTTCCTGTCAAACATTCTTCTAGGTGGTATAGCACTGGTCTGTGCATTGCTGTACAGAGATAACTTGTGGTTGCTGTGATGCTGAAGACTGTGACAGTGATGTGCCAATCGTGGTAATGGGTACCCATGGTGGACAGTGTTGGCTGGAGCTTCCCGACTAAATCAAGCCTGGAAGCAGGAGCGGCATCCACTTCCGAAATGGCTTGCCTCCGGAAACTCTATGTACGAACAGTGCTCAGACTGTTCATTCATAGGGTCGCTGTGAGTCATCTATGACTCGATGGCACCAAACAACAACAACAACCTTTGACTTGGTAGCATCACTTTCTGTTGAAACTATAAAACAAAAACAATAACAAATGTACAATGCACTGTAGATTTTGGTCTTAATTTTTATACCTCTGTAATTTTTATGAGATTTTTGGTAGGCGAAGGGAACTAGTGGTATAGCCTGTACACGATTCCATTGCTAACACAAAGGTGGTGTCTCGCTGATGGTCCGAACACAACAGCATGTCCTAGGGAGAAAGATGTGCAGTCTTCCCCCCATGCAACTTGAAACCTCCAGAAAATCAGTTGGAGAGTCAGCTACGAGATGGTTCTGACTTGAGGTTGAAGCCAATAAGATTTTTGGAGGGAGGAAATGTGGAAATATGAGGTCAACCCACTTGTAGGAAACAGGAGTTATCTAGTTCTGTCGGTTATGAGGAGAGGTGCTTGGGACAGGTCCACTAGAGTAATTCACTCCAGGTTGCTCAGTTGCGTTCTGCAATAACCTTGGGCTAAAGCTGCTCTTTGATGTTTGTCTAGAAATTCCAACACTGGCCTTATCACTTGCACTTAAAAACAACTCAAGTGGCAGCTTTCACTTCACGGTCACTGCTGATGTGACCTCAACTGATGGAGTGTCTGATGGGCCCTTCCAGCAACTGGGCTGCTGCATAATGGCATCCAGAGAGGCTCCTCTCATCTACACACAGACTTAAGAGCCGTTCTTCCTTTTTATTATTATTAGCTGTCTCAAGCAGCTCCAACTCATTCATGGCAACCTCACCCACAGATGACAGATAGCAATGCTGCTGGTCTGTGCATCACTCCCGGCATCAGCTGGGCATCAGTCCCTTGTGATCCATAAGGTTTTCACGGCTTGATTTGTTTAAGGCCGATCACCTGCCTTTTTCTCCATTTCTAGGAACTCTGCATTTGATAGTAGATAAGACTGTCTAACAGAGAATCTCACCATTTTATTTTTCAGTCCCTTAAGCCTAATGCCAAGACTTCATAAATCTATGGTTTGAAATAGCCTATATCCTTTCCCCAGCTGTCAATAGCTTCCTAAAAGCACATTTTATTTACTTTTTTTTTCTTTTGCATGGAGAGGAGACGTACCTACCCTGAGCTCTTGATCACAGTGTTCACCTCCCCGCCCCCCCCCCCCAGACTTAGCCAGGTACGGGGGTGGTCGTGGTCGGACTGGTGAGCTGCCCCAGACTTCCCTGCTACCCAAATTCCTCCCTTGTAAAATTCAAGCTCAGGACACTGTTTATTCCACCTCTTTGCTCTGAGAGTCAAATGAAAGAACTTGCACCCCTTTGCACAGTGCGGTCTCAAACCCTCTGGCGCTATTTCTCCTCGAAGATGGAACCTACAAATTTAATTAAAAAACGGCTTGCATATTAAAGCCAGATACTGTGTGTGTCTTCTACTCAGAGGACGCTTCCTATCGTGTCAGGCTCCCTCCCTGATGCCCAGGACGTGCAGGCTGTCTAAGCAGTTTGCATTGTTTATGTGAGCGCACATACAAGCGCTCCCCGCCCGAGGAGTCTCCAGATTTCATTATCCAGGAGGCAGAGCCCCTCAGAGAACTGCAGAACCAGCCAGGCACTGTTTTGTCGTCTTTCCTTTGTCAGATCTTCCTGTTCCGCTCCTGGCTACACTCTCAGAAAACCACTTACTGGTGATTAAAAGGAGGGGCGCGCCAGCCTCGGGCGCTGGCCGGGGCGCGGGGCGGAGCCTGTGCGAGCAGGGGGCCGGGCGATTGGGCCAGTCCAGGGGGCTGCGCTCCCTTAAGTGGCAGCCAGCGGAGTAGGCAGCCTGGGGCGGGGCGGGGGCGCATCGCGCAGACCCTCGGAACCCGATGCCACGGAGACACCAGCAGCCTTGGACGGAAGCTCCGTACAGAAGCGGCGGTGCTGCCCAGAGGTGAGGCTACAGACCCACGACCACACAGACGAACGGCAGCGACCACACAGACAAACGGCAGCGGGGACCGCTGGACCGAGGCGTGCACAGTGCGCTGGGGCAGGAATCAATCCTTGGTACCTGCAGGAGCGAGACCTGCGGCTCCCCCGACCGCGCCATGGACGGCACCGACAACGCAACCCGGTTCCTCGACCTATCCTCTCCACAGTGGGACAACTACACCCTGTCGCCCAATGCTAGCAGCCTGAGTCCCAGCCTGGACTTCGACCTCGCACCTACCTCCAGCTCCAGCCCCAGCCCCAGCCCCAGCTCCAGCCCTGGGTTCAGTCTCGGGCCGGATCCGAACATCAGCTTCGACGCAGGTCCTCCTCTGAGTCTGGAGACAACGACCAGCAGCTTCGCTGGCGGTGCCTCGAGCCACGGCCCGTCCTCACTCCCTCGGCTCTGGGCGTCCCACGACACGCCGTTCTGGGACACGCCGCTGAACCACGGGCTCAATGTGTTCGTGGGCGCCGCTCTCTGCATCACCATGCTGGGCTTGGGCTGCACGGTGGACGTGAACCACTTTGGGGCACATGTCCGCCGGCCAGTGGGCGCGCTGCTGGCCGCGCTCTGCCAGTTCGGCTTCCTGCCTCTGCTGGCCTTCCTGCTGGCCCTCACCTTCAAACTCGACGAAGTGGCAGCTGTGGCCGTGCTCCTGTGTGGCTGCTGTCCTGGCGGAAATCTCTCCAACCTTATGTCTCTGCTGGTTGACGGTGACATGAACCTCAGGTACCGATGTCTCTGTTCTTTTAGCCATCACTCTCATCTATGAGGTTCACAGCCATGGGGTCAAGGCCAAACAGAGAGGAAGCAGAGGTGGGTGGGAAGAGGCATGGGAAATGGAAATGTAAAGTGCAGGAACCTGGGCTTTGGAAGAAAGGGGAGATGGTGAGAAGCAGCAGGGGGGCAAAGATCTGGACACTGATGGAGCTGCTCTGAGGGGCCGGGGTTTTCATGCACAGTTCCAGCCCCTCAGCTGACCCACCTTCCTTTCCAAGTGGTAGGCCCTTAGTGCAGGCCTCAGGCTGCTGGAACACAAAGGGAATGGGGGAGCCTGAAGCTTGGACTTGGTGGAAATGGAAAAGCATAATAAGGCAATTTGTTGATCCCAATACAGAAAGTAATCTCTATACAGAGTACTATTCCGTTCTAGTCAACAAGTAGTACAGCTTCAGTGTGTCTAATATTGAAGGGTGCTTTTGAGAATTTAAGAAATACTCCTGGCCCTTAGAATCATGCAGGTTGCAATCAGCTTATGGGTGTTTTAAAGTCAGCAGGCAACCATGTACTAGTATTTCCCTCCAGCTTCTAGTTGCCTCATTTGAGTCTGGCCTAGTCTCTTGGCCAAGGGTGTAGGTGCTCCCCAGCCTTCGATTCCAAAGATCTTGCAGTCCCCTCTCCCCTCTCCACCTCTGTGTTTACCAAAGCGGTTGGCTGACTCTGAAGGGCCAGCGTCAATCTGACTTCTCCTCACTGCCCTTTCTGCAGCATCATCATGACCATCTCCTCCACACTCCTGGCCCTGTTCTTGATGCCCCTCTGCCTGTGGCTCTACAGCCGAGCTTGGATCAACACTCCTCTGGTGCAGTTACTACCCCTCGGAGCAGTGACACTGACTCTGTGCAGCACCCTCATCCCGATCGGGCTGGGAGTCTTCATTCGCTATAAATACAACCGAGTAGCTGACTACATTGTCAAGGTAAGGCCCCATTGCTACGCTTAGAGTCCTTGTCACGGATTCACAGCTGAAAGGCTAACCTTGGAAAAGAGGGGCAAGGAGGGGAAGTAAGGCCTTGGCTGTACTTGCATGGATAAACTTGAAGAAAAAGTTTATGCAGCAAAGATAATGCCATTGTTCTGGATTCTTAAAATGATGGTTTTTATTAAGGTTTAGTTTGATTAAAAATAGCATAATAATAGAACATAAGCAACCAAGAGTTCATTAAATACTGAACAACATGGATGGATTTAGAACAAACTATTCTGAGTGACATAAATGAGTCACAAATGGACAAGTATGATATAAGACCATTAATATAAAAAGCTGAGGAAAGGTTTACACACAGAAACAATCTTGGAGGGTTAATGAGAAAGACAAAGGAGGGAAAGGGGAGGAAAAAGGAATCAAGATATAAGGTGGGTAAAAGGAAAGGCAATATACAATAAAGGGTTTATTTAGATATTGAAGTAGTTGAATTATATTAATTGTAATTAATGTTATGAAATAAAATGTCTGTGACTGTGTGCATGAAAGACCAAGATGATTTGGAAACTTTCACTCAAAAAATAATTTAAAAAGAAAAGGAAAAAAAGAGCTGGGAAAAAAATAGCATAATAGCTAGGACCTTTGGGGGAGGAAAGACAGAACTGGGGGGGGGAAGACAGCGATGTTACTAGATGAAAACCTCTTTCCCCACTAACTGTGTATTACTAAAAATAAAAGTAGAGTAAATAAAATCCTTTTAAATACAATTTGTGTAGTATTTCAGAAATACATTGCTTTATTTTCAAAAGTAGGACTCTAATTCTGAAAAATCCTCTAGTAAGTTTGTTCATAATATTTTTCTGAAAATAAATATAATAATGCTAAGAAATTTAAAAAAGATGTGTAAATCAGATGGAATACGTAAAATATGTGTCTGAGTACACAAAATAAAATAAGCTCTAGTTTAAAAAATGTAGATTATGTTCCCATTATTAAATTTGTGTGTTTCATCATGCTATATATATTTCAATGTGGTTTATTTTTAAAACTTATATTTTGTAGAAGTAGAGATTTCATAAATAGAGAAAAATTTTAAATGTTGGTATATTAAATTTTCTCTGAAAATTCAAAACTCAGTCATTGACCATCCAGTCAGAACCAACTCATAGCTGACCCTCTTGTGGGTTTTCGGAGGCTGTACATCACACAGCAGGAGACTGCCCCTCTTTCCTCCCTCGGAACAGCTGGTGGATTTGAACTGCCTGCCTTGGGGTTGGCAACACAATACTTTTAAATGCATATCTTAAGACAAATGAAAACAAAAAAGCCAATTCACTATGTTAGTTATGTTAGACTTAATAAGAGGTAATATTTTGGTTGGTTTGTTGTGGTTTTTTTTTTTGTTTTTTTTTTAGTGTCCAAAGTCATTTTAATCTGCAGAAGGACTTTTATTAATATGATAATATAAGGTTTCTTTCCTGCCCATATATCCAGTCGTGAATTTTAAAAGTCTTTTAAAATTACGTATATATTCTGAATGTTACAAATAACCCTTGTGATGCCACGACTTAAGCACCTGGCAGCTAAGCTAAAGGTCAGTCAACTCACCAGTCACTCAATAGGAGAAAAAGTTGGCAGTGCATTTCCTTAAAAATTAGAGCCTTTAAAAAAAAAAAAAAACAACCACCAATTAGAGCCTTGGAAAGCCTATGAGGTAGTTCTATTCTGTCCTACAGGGTCACAGTGAGTGAGAACCAACTAGACAGTATTAATAGGTGCATATCTGCATTACACACACACACACACACACACACAGTCTGCTATTGTTATGTGCCGTCAAGTTGCTTGCTACTCAAAGCAACCCCATGCATAACAGCTCTAAACCTTGCCCTATCCTGAGTCAAACTCAGTCTCCAACACACCTACTCCCATTACTTCAGTTACTGTGTCAATCCATCCCCTCCAGGGTCTTCCTCTCTTGTGCTGTCCCTCTAAATTTCCAAGCATGATGTCTTTCTTCAAACACTGGTCTCTCATGACAACGTGTCCAAAGTACGTCAGATGGAGCTTCAAAATCCTTGCCTCCAAGGAGAAGCCTGGTTTCCCTTTCTCTAAGACAAACCTATTTGTTCTCTTGGCAGTCCATAGACATTGATTCTTCTTCTGTCATCCTTAGTCACTGTCCAGGTCTCTGATGTGTAGCAAGTAAATGCAAAGACCATGGCCTGGATGAGGTGGACCTTAGTCTCTGGAGTGACATTGCTGCTCTTTAGCACTCTGGATAGGTCTCTGACAGCATTTAGGATGCATTAAATAACTTACTAAACTTAATTATTAACCCAATACTATTAATGGATTGGTATGAACTATGTACAGTTCATAAAACTTCCAAGAGAAAGTTAATCAAATGAACTACATATACATGCTAAAAAAATATAGATACATGAAAATACAACTCAGTATGTTTGGCTGAGTTTATGGGTAATCTATCCTTATTCCTAGACCTTTTACAAACATTTAAAAATGAACATTCAGCATCAGTGCTCATTCATAGGATTTCAAATGCAGGCAGTTTAAAATACACAACCTCTATACAGGTTATGTAAGTCTAACTTGCGGGTCCTCACACTTGTGTTTTAATGTTATGTAAACTTTTCCTCACTTTGAAATTTTTTGACCCCTTCTTACAACTAATTCTCCATCATAATCACCTTTATTTGCTGCACATGCAGCTTTTAAGGCACTGAGAGGCTTCAAGTTTTTCTGGCATATAACCTGGTAAGGTTAAATAAGAACCATATGCTCATGTTTAAACTTACCTACACATTTGATTTAAAGAAACACACTTAGGAAGTAATCTGATTTACAAACAGGGCAACTTATAGTTCAATGGAAATATTGGAGTCAGTATTTTCGTTGTAAAACACTTTGAAATGTAGTAATTTTTAAAATTTAGAATTGTATTACTATCTTACATATTTGTGTTCATTATACAATGGGGTTGAGTATGTCAGGAAGTGTGAAGTTGGCACAGGATAGGACAGGGTTCAGATCTGTTGTTCATAGGGGTGCAATGGGTTGTACTCAACTGAACAACAGCTAACAACAATATATATTTGTAGTATTACTAACTTGTGTAATAATCAGCTCCTGTTAGGATAGACTAACTGACCAGCCCAGATAAGTTTTAAACATATATCTATTTAAAAACATAGAAAGTATATGCCAATCTCAAAACTCTTAAGTTTCCTCAGATATCCAGGGAATCAGAAACAATACTTTAGTTGTTCTCTTGATTTCTTATTCTCTTTTCTCCCTACTCTCATTTTCAAAAACAGTTATCTGAAGAACTATTTTAGTCAGTTAACAGTGAATGAGTGAAATGTAGAACAAGATACTTTATACACAATCAGCTGTATTATATCTGAAACTCAACCTTATAACCCCCAAACATAACTAGAGATATACAGGTGGGAAGTTTCCTTTGAATAAATTAAAAAAATAAAGAGGTTTGCAAAATTGCTTATTTCCTACATCTTAACATTTACATATTTCCCCTTACAGGAAGAGCAATTGTTTCAGTGTTGCTAACAATCCTCTGCAATGTATTTTGAAGATTGAAAAATACCAGACACCAAGTCTCATAAATTTTAATAGCAATGACACCCTACCATGTACAAAACTAGAATGAATATTTTATGGAAAACATTGGATCATGGTCAGGAAATGCAAACATTCCCCTATCCTCTGTATTCACCAAAACAACAACATCCTAACATTTGGGACATTGGGCTGGATCCAGACTGTTCTTAGAAGCACAATTATCTACAAATTAAACATACTCCCATAATAGTCAGGACTCCAGAATAAAGTTATATGATGAAAGTTGAAAATCTGGGGGAAATGTGGGAATTAATAGCTGGTTGAGTTCTCAACCTGTAGTTAGGGTTTTTTTCCCCCAGAAGTTGATTGGTTTATGTTGCTCTTGAGGGCTGCTCCAGGACAATGTTTAGTGGTATAGAAGGTATAGTGTTACTAGACATTAAATATAGGCTTCCCAGTAATTGTTCAGCATGAACCTGGATGAAGAGGTGCCTAGGATCAAAAACACTGCAGGGCAAATATTTCCATTTTGTATGTGGGATCTTCTCTTCCAAGAAATGATGATCTTCTTACTCGAATTCCTTGTGAAAGATGTTACTTTTGATGGTTTCTCTATTTTCTGTTGCTAGATCTCCCTGTGGTCTCTGCTAGTGACGCTGGTGGTCCTCTTCATAATGACTGGCACCATGTTAGGACCTGAGCTGCTGGCAAGTATCCCTGCTGCTGTTTACGTGATAGCGATTTTCATGCCATTAGCAGGCTATGCCTCAGGCTATGGCTTAGCTACCCTCTTCCACCTTCCACCCAACTGCAAGAGGACTGTGTGTCTGGAGACAGGGAGTCAGAATGTGCAGCTGTGCACGGCCATTCTAAAACTGGCCTTTCCCCCACGGTTCATAGGAAGCATGTACATGTTTCCCTTACTCTACGCCCTTTTCCAGTCTGCAGAAGCAGGGATTTTTGTTTTAATTTATAAAATGTATGGAAGTGAGATACTGCACAAGCGAGATCCTCTAGATGAAGATGAAGATACAGATATTTCTTACAAGAAACTAAAAGAAGAAGAAATGGCAGACACTTCCTATGGTACAGTGAACACAGATAATTTAATAATGATGGAGACCACTCAGACTTCTCTCTAAATGTGGAGATACACAGGAGCGTCCATCTGGTGGATCTATTCATATTTTTTGATGGTCTGTGGTACTGTGTGTGGTTTCCATAAGGGATAAAATTGATCTGCATTATCATACATGTAACAATTCTGATCTTGCCATTGTAAGGTTGCACTGGTGCATCAACCAAGTGTTTTCCCAAATTACAAATCAATGTCATCATATAACTTGCACCTGGGACCATTGAAGTGAAGCCCAAGCTAGTTAACTGTGCTTTTTGGTTTTTCATCATTACCAGTTTCTATGACTGTTTCAAACTTGTGAAACTATTAGAACACAGAGTGGTGGAAATGTACAAGTTTGTACTCATATCTTCTATGAGTAAACCCCACCTATATTTGTAAAGCATAATTGAGTTAAATGTAATTGTCTAAAATTGTATTTTGCTCAGCTTCTATGATAAAATGCTGATTTCGACCTGTTCAGAGAAATCTCCAAACAGGTCAATTAAACAATGCCATAGACTACAGCATCTTATTGTCAAACCTGTCAAATCAGAGAAAAATGATATTGATGTCTTTGTTCTCTTGATTTGATCTGATGATTTGATTCCAGTGGAGGAAGATTTTCTTTCTGAGTAGGGGTTTTCAGCTTTTCTGTGCACAGACACATCCCAAATCAATTTATCTGTTAGTGGGAGATGTTGATTAGGAAAATTTATGGGATCGCTTTTCCTGCAGAGAAGCAGCACTCAGCGCTCCCGCCAGGTCACCATCTGGGTGGGTTGGGGATGGACAAACGCGCCTCAGGGGAGAAACAATTGCCCTAGAAATGGATGTTCTAGAATATTCTCCGTTATGCTTTCCCAGAGGTCCGCTTGGAGATAACACTGTACTGTGAAATCATAGCTAACTTCCAAGTAGCCCCCTAAATCTTCAGATCCCCGCTCCCTCACCCACTGGCACAACTGGTCCCCTCAACCTTTTGACACCGACACCTGGAACAATTAGCTTCTGGGGACCACCTGGCGCAGCTAATCTAGGCAGTGGTTCTCGCTTGTTGGAATCCACATCTCCTCCGACGGGTTTACATATAAATCAGGTTTTTTATCCCCAAAGCAAGCTCTCTTTCCAGCTCGTCTGATGGTGTTCGTGTCACTCTCCCGCGCGGTCTTGCCTTGGGGAGAGGGTCACCGAGGAGAGCCCTTCAATAGGGTTCTGGCCCCAAGCACTCGGCGCGGGGAGGAGGGCGGCTTTGGGCGGGAGCCAGGGGCTGAGGGTCGTTCCCGCCCCCGCGACCGCCCCCCGAGGCCGCCTACTTAGTGCGCCACGGGCTCCAGTCGCTACGTTTTCGCTTATGGCTGCTCAAGGAAAGGGAGGGTTGGACGGTTACATGTACCCGGCGTGCACACCCTACTCGTACTCCTACCCCTTCCCGCCAGCCGCCAAGGGCAAGGTCACAGCGGGAGGGGGCGCGTGGCGCCACCGCGGCCGAGGCTACTTCCCCGCGCCCTCTTCCGCGGCGGCTGCGGTGGCCGCTGCCTCGTCCTCGTTCCCCGGCTACGGGCAACTCATGGCGGCCGAGTACTTCGAGAACTATCAGCGGGCGCAGCTCATGGCCCTCCTGTCTCAGGTGAGCCCCGGCCTGGCCCCGCGGCCGCGCCGGGCCAGTAGCCGCGACGTGGGGGTGCAGGTGAACCCACGCCGCGACGCGTCGGTGCAGTGCTCGCTGGGGCGGCGCACGCTGCTGCGCAGGGCGCGCGAGGCGGGCTCCGAGGGCG